GATCACCAAATCAGCATATTAGAATGATTTCTGAAGGATCATGCGACACTGAAGACTTAGAAGACTGAAAAAAAGCTTCACCATCATACAAATTAAATCATATTTTAAAATATATTACAAATCAGTTTGTATAAGAGATTTCTTACAAAAACATAAAAAAAAGTGCTCAAAATACAGTAAAAATAGTAATATTATCAGTACTATCATAATATAATATAATATACAATATTATAATATTACAAAATAATGATTTATATTTGAATATATTTTAAAATGTAATTTATTCCTATAATGGCAAAGCTACATTTTCAGCATCCACTTCAGTGTAAATACTTTATATTTTACTTTATATGTGATTCATTTTTTTCAGGATTCTTTGATGAATAGAAGTTTCAATAGAATGGCAATTATTTGTAACATTAAAATGCATTTACTGTCACTTTTGTTCAATTTAACGCATCCTTGCTGAATAAAAGTATTAATTTCTTAAAAATAAAAAATAAAAAAAACTTGCTGACCCCAAACTTTTCAATGGTAGCAAAAAGTTATGTATATAAATATTTTAAAATGAATTGGTGGTCAATATTTAAATTAAATTCTACACACTTTAATTCAAAACAGGCAAAAAGAAACAAAGAGAAAAAATACAATAAATAAAAAAGAAACAAAGAAAAGAACAATTGTTCATTTAACAGCAGTTTTTACTTTTTGAAGAATTTGATAGATCTTATAAAACTTCTAGAAACAAAAAGTTCATCCTCTTCACGCATGGTAAAATAGGTGATGTAGTTCATTCATTATTAGTGCTGACTGAGTTGTACCCAGTAACTCATGGCTCTGGTCCTCTAAATTGACATCCAGGTCTGCACATCTCGGGTCACAGAGTCTGCATTTCTGTACTCTGCAGCCACAATGTCCACCTAGATAAAAACATTCACTGAGAACAACAAAATTGCAGAGAAATCAACCCATATATTCAGTGCACCAAGGCTGAGGACAACATCAGATCCTCTCTGTGATGAATCCACTGAAGGCTGTAAAGCTTTCAGACACGACTCAGAGAGTTAGTCCTTGGGTAGAAATACAGAGAAAATTATAAAGAAAGATACATAGCAGCAGCTCATCTAGCTGTCACTCAAAATTGAATGAATAGTACTAAAGAATTTAAAACAGGTTTAGGAGTACAAGGGATCTCTGGAGGGCAGGTTGAATCAGCAATCAAAGTTACACTACCGCTCTTTTTTTATGTTTTATAAATTTTTTTTTAAAGCAATGAGTACTTTTACTCGGAAATGGATTAAATTGAGTAAAAACACAGTGTTACAAAAGAGTTCTATTTCAAGTAAATTCTGCTCTTTTAAACTATCTGTTCATTATTTATTCGGTATCATGATCATGAAAAAATGTATCATGGTTTCCACAAGAAACATTGATAATAATAAGTACTGATCACCAAATCAGCATATTAGAATGATTTCTGAAGGATCATGCGACACTGAAGACTTAGAAGACTGAAAAAAAGCTTCACCATCATACAAATTAAATCATATTTTAAAATATATTACAAATCAGTTTGTATAAGAGATTTCTTACAAAAACATAAAAAAATCTTTCCAAACCCAAACTTTTGAACAGTCATGTTTATACAGCTCAACAAACACACATCAGTTGCTTTTCCTATCCTTTTTTCCCAGATTTATTCAAAGAACACATTAAAATACAGTGAAACCACATTTTAGGGATTTACACATTATCTATGGTTGTCACATGATGTCATCATGTTGCATGTTAAATTTTTGAAACATAATAAAACTTTATTTACTTATAATTTTTGTCCAAGTTTGTGTAAAAACCCATTAACATTTGGCTGCCTTTTAAAAAAAATGATTCAAGAAAAAGATGAATATATTATGATTTGCACCCAGTTTTCTGTTGTATACTGCACATTTTGCCAAGTGTAGCTGGTCATATGGATAGAAAAAATGTGCATACTATACAGTGCACATACTATATACTTCAGAAATATTAGTGTGGTAGTGTTCTGAAAATAGTTATGACACAAATTTAAACAGCATTCTTTGTTAATTTATAAGGGGCCCTGGTTTTCTATCCATTCGTACAGATTGCTGTACTGATGTAATTCAGAGGTACAGATGAACATTAAACTGCAGGGGAAGCTGTGACACTTCAGATGGAATGAGTGATGAAGGATAGTAGAGACAGATGACCTTAGTCCTCTGTGCCTCACCAAATCACTGCTCTGACTCCTTTGCAGGCTTCCATACTCACAATACTTCGGAGGGGTGTCTGCTGTAACCCCAGAGCAGTACCTCAAGATGAACGGCTTTCCGAACCAATATTGGGGCTGGGGAGGAGAGGACGATGACATCGCAGCTCGGTGAGGATGGCAGAATTTTTATAATGCGTTTGCGTGAGTTATTTCAACATAATGGAATGTAGTAGAGATCAAAGTAACTGGCACGTCTACATCAGAAATGCATCCTGTTAAGCATTTGTGTTGCACGTCTGTCATCTCTCCATCACCATTTTGTTTTCAGTTCACGTTTGCATTGGTCTCTTGCCATAATTCTCATTTTCACTGCATCCGTCTATCCCTCATGCCCTCCCCCGCATAGCCACATGAGGGACCAGTAAGTACATGCATGAATCACTAGATTGGACTCAAGGCTTCCAACTATTTAGGTGTCAGTACTCTTCAGTGATTACTGCCCTTTTATTCAATAATACATTCAAGTAATTTTATTTCTGTGACAATAAGAAACATGCTGTAGAGGATTAAAAGTTGTTGAAGCCTTGAAACCAGAATGAGTCAGGTGTAGTAGATTATTAGTAGTGTTGAGGATTTGAATCACATTTTCTTTATGGTTAGTTCTCTCTTAAGTGTCTTTGGCATGAATAGGATTGAGCATCATGAGGAATCTAATGAATCTGTTTCTGATTCCTCATTAGCAGTTCCGTTAATGATTCTTTTAGAGCTTTTGAGGAATGTGTATTTGAAAAAATCCATGATGAGATCATTTTAATAATAAATAAATTTCAAAATTCTGGAAAAAACTTTTTACTGACTTTTCTTTTACTGTCTTTTGTATAGGCGGCATATATTCAAAACAATAATTGGCCTAACTGTGTATTAAATAACCGTGCTAAAACTAAAATGTGGCATATGTCATTCCGCCATTATTTTGATAAAATACTACCGACAAAACACATAGTGTGCATGCTTAACTACACTTTGTCATATGAACAAGCAGTCGGTAACTACATTAAATCTCATAAGTCTTAAGTGCAACATTGTGAGTTGTGCTTGTGTTATTTTTACAAAAAAAAAGGCTCATACGTTGATGAATCAGACTACACTGGTAGCACTATATGTGTTTGATTCATGCTCATATTAGTCATTTGTTGGTAAATTGGACTGGTTGAGGTATATGTATTTGATTCAGTAAATGATAATGGAATCATTTGGTCAAGAGTCAATGGACTACACTGGTCATGCTGAAAAGTTTTGATTCACTACAAAAATCTGGCTCATAAGATTTGTTCGTTCAGTAACCTAACTATATATATATATGTATGTATGTATGTATGTATGTATGTATATATATATGTATTTTTTTTACGTCTGTTTTCACACTATAGATTCAGTAGTAGTGCATGACTCTTTGTCAAAATGTTTTAGTACACATTCATGAACCATTAATGGACCATTAATGTAATTGGCTATTTTGAATAAGAGCTAAGTCGCAAACTGCTCAACATCTTTGACAAGGCAGAACCTCTGAGTCCATCAGTGTTTTTTCTTTTCTTTCTTGCCGTTTAATATTCCTGCATGGTTTGATTTCACAATGAGCGATTTTTCAGGGTACAGATCAAATCTAGTCCCAGACGAAAAGTATTTTTGGAGATAATCCAGGACCCAGCTTTATGTGTTTTGGGAAAACTGACATTGCATGTATTCTTGGAGAACATTTTGAAGGGCGTATCAGCTCATGGTGATTTGCAAACCTGGCTGTCGCATAATTAGCCGTCAGTAGCCTTGCCTGACTCAGATGACTCAGATGGCTGAACCAGAGGCAAGAACACAAAGTTTTAAGTATTTAAAAGCTGGATTAGACTCTCCAACTTTAGATGAACCTTTTGAGGATTTTCAGTTGTGGTTAGAACCTTTTTACATAAAAATCCTCAACAACAGTAGTTTTTTTTAGCTAGTTCACATCCATCTGGCCCACCTTGCGGACTCTACTGGAAATAGTTTTCCTGCTGTGCTTTGTGCCGCTCTTTCTTTTGTCTCTGTCCCTTTGATACTTCATACCATCCTTCTTCAGGTTTTTTTTTTCTTCTTATATGTTACTGTTTCTACTTGCCTTGTGGTTTTGTCTTTAGAGTCCGTCTCTCTGGGATGAAGATAATGCGCCCGCCTTTGGCCATTGGTCATTATAAGATGATCAAACATAAAGGAGATCAGGGTAATGAGCAGAACCCGAGAAGGTGATGTTACTTGGCAAAATATATTATAAACTTAGTGTTGGTACTAGGGTTGAAAAGGGACAGAAATTTCTGGTAAATTTCCAGAAACTTTCCATGTTTTTTTTGGGAAACTTTCAGGAAAATTTTGGAAGGTTTCTGGAAATTTTCCACCCTTTTGCAACCCTAGTTGGTACAATTTAAAAATAATGGTTCCAAATGGGGGTTTCCACAGCGATGCCATAGGAGAGTCATTCTGGGTTCCCCAAAGAACCTTTAAGTGAACAGTTCTTAAAAGAATCATTATTTTTCTTGGTGTGAAGAACATTTTAATCTAAAGAACCTTTTTCCACTGTAAGAGGCTTTTGTCCATCAAAAAGGTTCTATGGATGTTAAAGGTATGGAACCATAGATGGCAATAAAGAACCTTTATTTTTAAGAGTGTATGGATAGATAAGTTTAGTATTTAATCCATTTGTTCAGTCTGTTTATTGAGTCAGTTCCTCTTCATGAATTTGTTCTTGTAGGTTTGACTTGCTGAAGCGCACAAGGCTGAACTGGCACTCAGATGGACTGAACTCACTGACTTATGAGCTCCTATCCAAAGAGTTGGAGCCATTGTACACTAATTTGTCTGTCAACATTGGGGATGATCCACACCGTCCCCCTGTGAAGGCTCCACCTCGGAAGTCAGAGCCTCAACCCGCTCCAGCTAATAAAACGAAGACTGAAAAAGTGGGTGCGGTCATCAATCATAATGCTACAAAAGTGGAGCCCACCCACTTGAAGGCCAATAATGAAAGTTCAAATGTTGGTCAAAAAGCTCCTTTGAACCAGGAGGTGGGATGATACTGATAATGGAGTATCCACAGACAATTCAGTTATTCGCAAACTGCTCAACATCTTTGACAAGGCAGAACCTCTGAGTCCATCAGTGTTTTTTCTTTTCTTTCTTGCCGTTTAATATTCCTGCATGGTTTGATTTCACAATGAGCGATTTTTCAGGGTACAGATCAAATCTAGTCCCAGACGAAAAGTATTTTTGGAGATAATCCAGGACCCAGCTTTATGTGTTTTGGGAAAACTGACATTGCATGTATTCTTGGAGAACATTTTGAAGGGCGTATCAGCTCATGGTGATTTGCAAACCTGGCTGTCGCATAATTAGCCGTCAGTAGCCTTGCCTGACTCAGATGACTCAGATGGCTGAACCAGAGGCAAGAACACAAAGTTTTAAGTATTTAAAAGCTGGATTAGACTCTCCAACTTTAGATGAACCTTTTGAGGATTTTCAGTTGTGGTTAGAACCTTTTTACATAAAAATCCTCAACAACAGTAGTTTTTTTTAGCTAGTTCACATCCATCTGGCCCACCTTGCGGACTCTACTGGAAATAGTTTTCCTGCTGTGCTTTGTGCCGCTCTTTCTTTTGTCTCTGTCCCTTTGATACTTCATACCATCCTTCTTCAGGTTTTTTTTTTCTTCTTATATGTTACTGTTTCTACTTGCCTTGTGGTTTTGTCTTTAGAGTCCGTCTCTCTGGGATGAAGATAATGCGCCCGCCTTTGGCCATTGGTCATTATAAGATGATCAAACATAAAGGAGATCAGGGTAATGAGCAGAACCCGAGAAGGTGATGTTACTTGGCAAAATATATTATAAACTTAGTGTTGGTACTAGGGTTGAAAAGGGACAGAAATTTCTGGTAAATTTCCAGAAACTTTCCATGTTTTTTTTGGGAAACTTCCAGAAAATTTTGGAAGGTTTCTGGAAATTTTCCACCCTTTTGCAACCCTAGTTGGTACAATCTTAAAAATAATGGTTCCAAATGGGGGTTTCCACAGCGATGCCATAGGAGAGTCATTCTGGGTTCCCCAAAGAACCTTTAAGTGAACAGTTCTTAAAAGAATCATTATTTTTCTTGGTGTGAAGAACATTTTAATCTAAAGAACCTTTTTCCACTGTAAGAGGCTTTTGTCCATCAAAAAGGTTCTATGGATGTTAAAGGTATGGAACCATAGATGGCAATAAAGAACCTTTATTTTTAAGAGTGTATGGATAGATAAGTTTAGTATTTAATCCATTTGTTCAGTCTGTTTATTGAGTCAGTTCCTCTTCATGAATTTGTTCTTGTAGGTTTGACTTGCTGAAGCGCACAAGGCTGAACTGGCACTCAGATGGACTGAACTCACTGACTTATGAGCTCCTATCCAAAGAGTTGGAGCCATTGTACACTAATTTGTCTGTCAACATTGGGGATGATCCACACCGTCCCCCTGTGAAGGCTCCACCTCGGAAGTCAGAGCCTCAACCCGCTCCAGCTAATAAAACGAAGACTGAAAAAGTGGGTGCGGTCATCAATCATAATGCTACAAAAGTGGAGCCCACCCACTTGAAGGCCAATATTGAAAGTTCAAATGTTGGTCAAAAAGCTCCTTTGAACCAGGAGGTGGGATGATACTGATAATGGAGTATCCACCGACAATTCAGTTATTAATGGATAGTGGAGGGAAAACCAGTTTGCTCTTTGTTTTATATCGTAAAGCATTGCTACTCTTGGCAAATAAGTTCACTCCACTGAAAGTTGACTGAAACTGTTCTGCCGCCTCTGAATGTTGTTCAGCTGCTGATATGGTGACATTTGCACAAGTCTGGAATCATATGCTGAAGATCTCGTTTTGCTGTAGGAGTCGTATCAGAGTGGGCCGAGTTGTAAACCCTCTCGAAAGTGACCAGTCGACGTACCTGTGCAAGTCCTGTGTGTTTGTGAGCTGATTTGCTGCCAGCTGCTGTACTTCACCCCACTGTGTGGGTCTGTTTTTCTGTGCCTTTTCTTGCCCTTGAACCAGTCTCTTATCAACATGCCATGACTCAGTCAAAAACATTATTACTGCACACCACTGTTATTAATACTACAGTTGAATGCTCATTCCACGTTTATCTGTTTTTCTCTTCTTTTAATATCTAATCAGCACACACTGCTTTTTGATCTAGTGCTTGAGCAGAGTGATTTAGCCATGCATCTGTTTATTGTATGTTTATCAAGAGAGAGTTGAAAAATGTTTTAACAAGGACCTTAATCTTTAGGACCTGTGACTGACTAGAGGGACTCTTAAAGGGATAGTTCACCCAAAAATGTAAACTCTGCCATAGTTAACCCTCATGTTATTCCAAACCTGCATGACTTTATTTCTTATGCAAAACACACAAGCCGATATTTTGAAGAATGTTGGGAACCACACAGATTTGGTGACTACTGACTTGCATTGGTTGGACAATTAAATAGAAAAAAACAACAATGAGACACTTCTCAAAATATCTTAAGTTCCAACAGAAAAAAGAAAGTCAGGTTTGAAACGACATGAGGGTGAGTAAATGAAGGCAGAATTATAGTTTTTGGGTGAACTATCCCTTCAAGTTTGCCTTCAGTTCTCCAAGCTTTCAGTGTCTGCTCACAGAATCACTCATTGGCTTCCAAGCACCAAAAACAAAAACCGATGACTAGTGAATCAAGCTGATGTTGTGTCCTAGGTGGCCTACAGGTGTGTCAGTGTATTATTAAGCAAATAAAGAAAAAAGATTTAAAATCTCTTAGGCTGTTTTTTTTTTAAAATTTTAATCTTTTTTAAGAATACTATTAAAATACAGATATCAAGGTACTCTGATATATTTTCTGGCAATATTTGACCCTGCATTTAGAATTTCATCTAAGCAGATTTCATTACAAAAGCCATTTAGTAAAACTAATCAGCTTTAGCTTCATTGAAACAATTCAGTTAATGTGTTCTGACACACACATTATAGTATGCACAAACTGAGAGCACAGATACAAAGCAATAGAACACAAAAATAATATCTGTAAAGTAAAAGTGTTTTTCAAAGAAGTGTTACAATTACGTAATGCCATTTCATGGAACAACTTTTATAACCGCCCATGCAGGGGATCTGATTATAAATGGTGTTATTTCTGCTGAGATGCTGGTTTGCTGTTCTGGGTTGGTGGTCTTAACTCGGCTTGGCTCTCCTAAGTGACTGGTCTAGATGAAGCCTGTTGGCTGTGGTGACTTCCTGGTCTAGACTGAGTTTGGTTTACTGGGTTAGACTGAGCTTGCTGGCTTGTTGGTCTAGACTGGTCTTGGCTATACTGTGATTTGGGCCTCTCTGGTTTTGGTCTGGCTCATTCACAGGCATTTCTGACTCTTCTGCAGGCTGGTCCACATTTATGGTTTCCTGTAAGGAATTGATTTAGTCAGAATTCATATAAGCAGTGTTATCTAATACCATAGCATCATAAGTTGGAGATATTAAATACCCACCACATTGTTAACAGTTCTGTTTGTAGCCTGGCTGCCACCAGGGGCCTCATGAGTCTGGTTTGTGGAAAAGTTAATCTGTCTCCAGGTCTTGAGGCGATCCTGGCCCTCTTGTGAGCGGGCAGTGGGGTTTAGGGAAGCAGGAGGGATATAGCGAGGTAAATCCCAAGTGCCTTGGAATGCTGGCCATGCACTTCCACTCTAATAATGAAATCATTTATAAATAGTAAAATGAAACTGCTGCAAAACGTTTTAAGCTTGGTAATTACATTTAAATTTCATGCAAGTCATGCAAATCATCAAAACAAACCTTTGTTCTCACACCAGGTAGAAGGTGGCCATGGTCTGTGGCTATAAATGTAGTGTGGCCTTCTGCTGCTGCTGGTCTCTTGAGGAACAAAAAGTAAGTAAATAGACCAAACACAAGTATTTGTAATATGAACTAGGCAATTATTCTCTTCACCCAGTGCAATTGGTATAACTGCATCATTTAAATGAAAAACGACTCAAATTCATTTTTCCTTTCCTTTCTTTTCTTTTTCTTCTTTTTGAAAAATGTAAACATTTATAATGTTTGCACATTCCGTTGTGCTCTGTTTGATTGACGTGCATGCTTTTGCATTTGCAAGTTTAATGCCATTGGCATGGTTCACTGTTTGTGTAATGAAAATGCATAATAACAGTAAAATGTACACTACAGTTCAAACGTTTGGTTCAGTAAGATTATTTTTGAAAGAAAGAAATACATTTATTTATTGTATTAAATTAGTCAAAAGTGACCGTAAAGATATTTGTTACAAAGGAATTGTTTTCTATCAATAAAGAATTTCTATTTCAAATAACAGCTGTTCTTTTGCAAACATTTTTTGTAAACGATTAAACAGACATTTATTCCAGCTCAAACGACGTTACCAGTGGGACTGACTGTGTTAACGTTAACGTTACCTCTTTGAAATGTTTTGGGATGGTCCAATTCTGGAGCTTTTGCGACTTAAAGGCATTTTCATACTGCAGAAAACATCATACATATGCTAAATACGTCAACGTTATTCGATTAAACAATAACAAAATAAATAAATAAAATATCATGGTAGAACAGTTACAATTTAAGCACCTGGTTTGCAGAGTAAGTAGTCGACATCTTTCCACTCGAATGTGCTACTGGCAGTGGTCTCCTAGCAACCACTCAACATTATACTTTCAAATTAATAGTTCACAGTTTTTATATTCTTCGACTCTTTAAAATACTTCCTTGGCAAAGTGTCTATTTTTAAGGTTCAGCTCTTACATTATATGTTATATAATAGTTCAATAAAAACCATATACGGTACTTCCCTTTCGTTCAGCGCACAGTGGTATCCTCCCGTACGAGGGGGGCGCTGGAGACCATTTGAGCTCTACGTTGCACGCTGAACGATCCGCGGAAGGAAAGTCACAACAGCGTTGTATTAGGACAACCGACTTATACAAAAGGAGCAGTTGTTGAGTTTGTGCATGCGAACAGTAAGTACAAATTGAATAATACGCTTTGAAACGGTAACCGTTTTGATGCAAGCCGTAAAATGAGCACGCAGGCGTCAACATCTGGATCTGTCAATGAGGCGAGAGGCAGAAGAAGTGCTGAAGATGTCGAAGACCCCAAAAAACACTTCAGAGTCTGTCGGTTTATCATCGATACTGGTATTTGCAATTTTTCTGAAATGTTTAGAGATGTGTTTTTAATCTCTTAAACTGTCAAAATTGTAAGGATGTACTGCATCTGCTTGCTAGTTCATTCTCAGTATCCAAGGATGAATTGCTGTGCAGTTTCTGATCCCATGTGCATCCTATGATCCTATGTTTTCCATATCTGTAGGAGTGAAGTTAGGCATGAGATCTGTGCCCATGGCTACAGCATGTGCGCTGTATCACAGGTTCTTCCAGTCTGCCAATTTGCAGGTCTATGAGCCTTACCTAGTGGCCATGTCTGCCATCTACCTCGCAGGCAAAGTAGAAGAGCAACATCTCAGGACAAGAGATATCATCAATGTCTGTCACAGGTATATAAGGGGGATATTAAGTATCAGTTTTGTTCTCAGAGTTCATGTATAGGCATAGTAGGTCCTTTTTCTTTGATCCAGGTATTTTCACCCAGAGAGTGAACCACTGGAACTGGATGGAAAGTTCTGGGAGTTGAGGGACAGTATAGTACACTGTGAGCTGCTCATCCTTCGACAACTTAACTTCCAAGTGTCTTTTGAGCACCCACACAAGGTAATGCATGCAATGGTTACCTTGGTTCTCAAGCTTTTAGAATAAGTAATATATCTGTTGTCCACAGAAAAGAAAAGTTGTATAGGTTTTAAACAACAATGGGTGAGTAACTGATGACAGAATTTTGGGTGAACTATTCCATTAATGACTGGCAGCAAACATTTTGCATGAACAGTTTGCAAAAAGCCTATATAATATATACTGTGCTTTGTGTGCAAAACAATATAATATAAAATTATTTAAAAATAGTAATGCTCTGCTGCAAACAGTTTACCTTACTTTTATGAATTTAAATGCTCACATTAGTTATCAGTTACAGTTTTTTCCCACAGACATAAACTTTTTACTATAAAGCAGGGTTATTATCGTAAACTAAGCTATTAAAAACATTTTTGTTAATAGAATTAAAGTTGAAATCAAATAACATGAATATTAGGTAAAAAAACTTTAACTAAGCTGATGTCTTGGCTACTAACTGAAATAAGTTTAAGCTGAAGCGCTAAAATTTGTAAATAAATCAAATAAATGATATATATTGAAAATGAAAAAAAGTTTAAAACCGAAAGCTAATGAAAAATATTATTAAACTAATATAGTATGTCAGTGCTGTAATACTGCCTTAAAGTGGCATCACTGGCAGAGGTTCTTTATGCACAGTGCCAAGACTCAATGAATCGATTTATTATTTTCATTCTCGATTGTTAACAATTTTATCAATTATATGTTGTAAACGTACTCTCATCTTTGTACCTTCTCTATCTAATGCTGTTCAAACTTTGTGGTTTGCTCCATCTAATAAACTTCATTTTGCTGTTTCCCAGTACCTGCTGCAATACCTGCTCTCTGTAAGGAGTCTTTTGAATCGCCACGCCTGGTCTCGAACCCCCATCGCAGAGACGGCACTGGCTGTATTAAAAGACAGTTACCATGGCACTGTGTGTGTCCGCCATAAGCCTCAACACCTTGCCCTCACCTCCCTCTATCTTGCTCTCCAGACATATGGAGTGCAGCTCCCAAGAGGAGAACTAGCGTGGTGGCAGGTAGGATTTTTTTTTTCCAGTTTCATGTGGAGAAAAACATAAAATGTCCAGGCAGCATTTGGGTCATGCTGTGTCTGCATTGAGTCACTGAGACTGAACGTTGACTAGTTTGATTCTCACCATTGCCAGAGCCAGATCAGGCATAAGTAGAGCCACGATTGCAGTAACCTTTAGAGAGCAGGAAGTAGTTCCCATGGCAATAAGGGCACCTAATGGCTGCAGCCTGGTCTGAGAGAAATAACGTTGTCTTTCACACAAGATGTGTTCCCTTGGTGACACTCTAAAGTAATATTTAAGATTCAGACCATTTCATACATTTCAAAGGACTCTTAAAACCACTTGCTTGGCTTCAGTTTCCTACAATTCTGTCAAGTTCTATCAAAGAAATACAATAGACATTTTCTGACATATTTAGCCTTAAGACTGATTCATTTTTCTAGTCATTTGTTTAAGCTTTTTAGGTAAGAAGAGACCTCAATTTTGTTTTGTTTTTTGAGTGGGTGTATCTGACATATGACAAAATAATGATGTGGAAAATCTATTCAAATAATTTTTTGCAATTGGTTGTACAGAAATCATTAGAAGCTTTTTAGGTAAGAAGAGACCTCAATTTTGTTTTGTTTTATGAGGTTTTTTGAGTGGGTGTATCTGACATATGACAAAATAATGATGTGGAAAATCTATTCAAATAATTTTTTGCAATTGGTTGTACAGAAATCATTAAAAAAAAAAGAGTACTTTTTCTTGTTTTGTCTAGACTTTGTTTCCAAGTGGGCAGCTAAAAACCTGTGTGCAATATTAAGATAATCAATATATATCGATGGTCATAAATATGACTTTTTAATGTTATTGGTCTGATAAGTAAAATAGGCTGATGCCTTTAAGTCAATAAATTATAGCCAAATGATCATGTGAGCCCAAATTATTTCTAGTTGGTCTGCCTATTGATGAACAAAAATAAAATAAATATTACTAAATTTATTTCAAAAGTATTATTAAACAATTGTGGAAAAATATCAGAGTAGTTGTATGCATGGCACACAGGCATTTCTGTGTTTTATTTGTTAAAGCTATGATTTCCATTTTACATTTCTAAAAAAAAAAAAAAAATGTTGGCATAATAATAATGTGTTCTTAATTCCAGTACTTCATAAAAGGCTTAAACTTGTTAAGTAATTATGAGATATGAAAGGTTGTTTCTGCCGTTGAATTCCACTCTATATGATGCTTGGTGTTATTTGACACATGTAGAGATCTGGATCAATACCAGCATATTGGCCAATAAATTGATTACAACTTATGAATGCAAAAATATGTAAATGCAAATATGGTAGTGGCCAAAAGTGATTTCCGGCCTAGGAAAATGGACATCTTCGCATTCATCAAAAATTTTATTTTGGATTTTGTAAGCATGTTGCGTAGTTGTGCTTGGAGTGTAAAACTAATGTACATGCGCAATTGCTTCATTTGTAATAATGCAATAAAACATGGCAAATTGTGTCATACAAAGAAATTACTAATTTTATTGTATTTAATGTATGCTTTATTTCCTGTCAGCTCATTTTTGCATAGTAAAATAAAACCTGTATTCCATGATAAGCTGTAGTTTGCTGTCCAAATAATTTTGTCAGTTCAGAATCTTAACCAAGTTATTTTGTTTTCTTCATTGCAATATATTTTGATCTTGCAGGGTCATTGAAAGCAGACATTGAGAAATATCCTCTCCAGACATCACTATTGGCCACTGCTGTGTAATTAATGATTGGTTATTATTAAATATAATAATCATCACACTATTAAAATTTCCACATTGGGGCATCCCTGTGTAATATATATCATATGGGCATGCCATCTGAGGCTGAAACTAGCAGAATTTAGGTTTTTGGTACTTTTATGAAATAAACATTTATATCTAGTTCATTGAATGTACCATTGCCCACTCTCTGTTTTTTCTTCATGTTTCTCTCGCCTTTATTGGGTTTCCTGTTTACATTGACCTATTTTAAATGGAAATTTGAGGTAAAAATGTAGCCACAGCAAGTCCTCTTAGAGGAAATTAAAATAGGGGGCAGTTGTTTTCACTAGACTGCAAAAAGAACACAACTACAAGAGACTAGACTCTATTTTTAGTTGCCTCAGACCTAATATTTAGATGTCATCTCCGATATAGCATGCAGGTGGACCCAACTCTGGGATCTGCATTGATGTTTTTGCTTGTTTCCCTGCAGGTTGTCTGTGCAGACATCACCAAGGCTCAGATTGAAACCATCATGAGTGAATTACTGCAGCTCTATGACATGGAGGCCAAGTGCACCTGAGAGACAAAGAATGAAACGGGTACTAAAACACTGACATGGAAACCCAACACCTTCGGCTGTATATGTTCCTCAGAGACATTTTGTGACTGCCTGAGATCTGTGACAATGATCTTAACATGCATTGAGCCGTCTTTCTCCTGATGTTGTGATTTAACCTAATGAACTCTACTTATTACATCACAGAACGTGAAGGTTTCTAAAGGCTCTTCAAGAATGATGAGGGGAATGTAGAGAGATATATATATATATATATATATATCTCATTGTAAGTGGCGGTATGAAAACCAGACTTTAGCTACACCACATCAATCAATTCCCAGCCACCGACCTACTTTCTTCTCCTACCTTGTGCTATTTTTCCTCCTAAAGAGGGGGAGAAATTACAAAAGGAATGTAATAGCTGGTTGAAGGAAGAATGAAACAAAAGAAGAGCCATCCTGTCCCCAGAGCTAAATTCTGAGGTAAACGGCTAGATCGGAGCCATTTCTTTTATATTTTCTAATTTAATTACTCTCCTCCTCTCCCTACAGAACTTGTCCCGGTAGGCTTCTTTATGCAACTCATTAAAGCAGTATTACTGTATGCTGTAAAGCAAATCAGCACAGTTTTAGTAGACACCAGACTTCAAACTTCAAAAACACTTCACTGATTTAAACTTTTCATATTCTCAGCTAAAGATGAAAATGAACTGACAGGTTCATTCAAAGTCTACATTTAAAAATGTAATTTCTAATAAACATTTTTTGCACTAATGCTTTTTTGAAAGCATCTGTAAATAGATTTCTTTGTAGTTTTTTTCCCCCCCCTCCATCTATGATGTTCTACTTGAAATTTCTGGATCTAGTTAGGTCAGGACATTGCTCTAGAGTGGATCTTAATAAGTTACTATGGCAACTGCTATTGTAGAGGGAGCCTTTGAAACATACAAATGTGAGACTCCATTATAGCACACCTGTGAAGCTTAGCACATCAAATAATTGCAGTCAGGGAAATGTACTAATTTAGTCATTATTTACCAAATCAGTCATTGCTAACATGTTAAACAGCTGTTTCCCCTGTAGCTAACTGAATTGTGTTGACCGGAGACTGCAACCGCTGTTTTAAGAGTTCCCTTGGCATCAGATTTCAGTATGTGCTACATTTGTTATCTAGATCGTGAAAAATAAAAACTAGAAGGGTTATAAAATCAGTATGATTTAGGAATAGTGTGTTTAATCACTATTACAATATTACAATTGTTGCGATTTGTTTGCATAAAGTGTTATCAAAATAACTTTAACAAATTTTATTACATGGTTAAATTTGTTTAACATTAGGTATCATGCACTAACGATTTTATAGCATTTATTTATATTGATTAATATTAATTTCTACATATACAAACACAATTTTCATGTGTAATAGGATGTATTATATAACAATAATAATATATTGAACAAACATTAACAAGCAACAGTTTCAACACATTTAACCTAGATTAATTAATGCTGTAAAATTTGTTGTTCATTGTTAGTTCATGATACGTAATACATTAACTGATGCACTAAAAAACTTCCTGTAAAGTGTTAGTTATTTTACAGTTTAGGGCGATGCAGATGGATGAACTTCCTTTGCAGTAAGCTGTTTTATGGATTATATTTGTTCAGATAAAAATCTGAACATTCCTGCTTCACTCTCCCTCTCTTTGCCACACGCACACGGTTACGTACACACAAACACACACACATCTCTCAGCAAGCAGGCCCTAATGCTGGGCATCATGAATTATGGAGAGGGTACATGTGCAGCCGGATTCTCTTCCATCAATAAAACATCAGCATGGCCCTCACTAGAGTGCTGGGATAAGGAAGGATGGGATTGAATATGTGACTCTAACCTTACTCTCTTTGCCATCTCTCTTGGTTCTCTACTTTCAATCAGTTTCCCCCCCATTACTAGATTTTGTCCTGTGTGAAAGCAAGACTCTTTGTTGCTTTCTTGGTTCTGCTTTTCTCTGATGGTGTCCATCTTGTAGTCTTTAATCTCTTTCTCTTTACTGTACTTTCTCCTCACTGCCTCACATTACAGATCACTCCAAACTCTTTTCTCCCATTTAAGCTTTCTCTATTAACATTCCTCTCTTCCATTTTACTCTAATGGTGCTGGATGAAATATGTTTTTTCATAATTCTGGACCTTTTTTTAATACACTGTCACAACTGATTTCCCAAAAAAATCTATAGGAGACAAAGACTAAACAAGATTTAAATTGTACAGGTTCTTAAAGGAACAGTTTATCCCAAAAATGAAATATTGTCATCATTTGCTCACCCTCATGTTGTTCCAACCCTGTATGACATGCTTTCTTATGTGGAACATGAAATGCTCTCTTTTTTTTCTTTTCTCAGTGAAGGTCAATGGGGTTTTGTTAACACTTTGTTATATGGTTAAACTCATTAACATTACCCAATGCATTTAGCATCAGGCTCTAACAATTTTACATTTATTAATCTAGGTTAATGTTATTTTCTACATAAACTAATACATTTTTAATATTTCAAGCATGTTTTCTTTTTATATATGGAACCAGGAGATATTTTGAAAAAACAGTCTGCATGCTTTTGTCCACACAATAAAAGTCAATTTAGTAAAAAAAAAATGTACTCCATTGATATTAATTGTATGGACAAAAACTGTTCTTCACAATATATGCTTTTGTGTTTTGCTGAAGAAATTGAGTCGTACAGGTTTGTAACAGCATGAGGGGTGAGTAAATTATGACAATTTTTACTTTTGGTTGAACGAGCCATTCAACCTGCAAATCACTGTACAGGCATCTTTGAGCCAGAACAATTGTTTTGCGTCATCCCTCAAATTGTTCAGTTTCTTAGGTACACCATCAAACCTGCAAACAACTCAGTCCCCCTTAGAATAATCCCTGACTTTTTTGTATATGACTTTCCCATTTTGGAAGTACTACAATATCTGTTGCAGACCAAAGATCCAGTGTTTTTCTCTTCTTGACATAAGAACTCCTGCCAGAGTTGGGATACAGCCAAATCAATCAACTCTCAGAGAGGCAAGCTATTGATGTTCAATTCAGAGTGTGCTTAAGAAAAGCTTAATGAAAGTGTTGTAAATGTATCTTTTTGTATTTACAGCATAATGAGAAACGGAAAGAAGTGCAAGGGGGTTTAGAAATGAGTAGTTACAGGTAAAAACTGCAGTAGAAATGGGATGATTAGGCAAAGGACCATTAAAGGGATAGTTCACCCAAAATGAAAATTTTGTCATCATTTACTCGGCTCCATATTGTCTCAAACCAGTATGACCGACTTGCGTCTGTGGAAAAGAAGATATTTTAAAAATGATTCAGTGTTGTTTTTTGTCCATACAATGAAGGTCAGTGGGGTCTAGTTTTGTTCTGGACCACATTGGCTTTTCATGGTATGAACAGAAACCGTTCAAAAATATGTTCTTTTGTGTTCCACTGAAGAAGGAAAGGCATATGTTTGGAACAACATGAGGGTGAGTAAATGACCATTTTAAAATATCTTTAATACTGGTCTCAAAATGTTTTCTGCTCAACCACTCTGCTGAAATAGCTGATAAATGGTGAATGGTTCAAATCTAATCTCCATCCCAGAATAGAGAGACTTCAGATGCAACGACATTCATGTTGAATCCTGGAGATGTGGGTTGGAGTTCACAGACATGGAACGGTCTCACTCGGGTAGCTTTTGAATGAAGTTCCTCAGTAAAGCGTCGAGATGTAACACACGATTGGGCGGAATGTGTTTTGACTGACAGTGAGACTCCATCTGTTGGGTTGGGCTCCAAGGCTGGGATGCACTACCTGCAGGGTTAATGCACGGCAGCTCCCAGAGGGACAGCCATCTCCTAAACCCCTCACCTCTGAATTATAGATACAACTCCTCATCTGAAACTTTCTCTTTACTTTCCCGGACGTGCCTCACAAATATTTCAGTGTGAACAGTCTTGTGTGCACAAGTAGGTAAGAAAAATGTGGTGTTTAAGAATGTGCAATTGGAGCCATGCAAAATCAGCCATTTTTTTTTGCATGTCGATTGCAAGGACAATGAAACATTAAAAAATTATTGTTTTGTTGGTTGGTTTGTTGGTCTTGGGAGTATATTGTGGACAACTAGGTGCAACCTACCATAAACTATCATCCAATTCTTGGTATTTCCCTCTGTGCTTTTGAGTTAACGTGAACATCTGCTGAAGAGCATTTAGTGCCTGTGTGTATGCGTGTTTGCATATGAAGGCTTCAGGAGAGGCCCACTTGAGCACTCGTCAGCACATAAAAGCTTTTTCTCGCTGGTCTGAGAGGCCTCCTGCATTAGGGCAATTAGATTTGAGCCCTGTATGCTTGGAGACAGCTAGAAGTTTACACCTGCGTGGGTGTGATGGGGCGTCTGAATTTGTGAATTGAAAACACAACTGGAAAGTGAGACGTACACCAAGAGGATTATGGTCCAGATTTGAACAGCCATTTTTTTTGCATGTCAATTGCAAGGACAATGAAACATTAAAAAATTGTTGTTTTGTTGGTTGGTTTGTTGGTCTTGGGAGTATATTGTGGACAACTAGGTGCAACCTACCATAAACTATCATCCAATTCTTGGTATTTCCCTCTGTGCTTTTGAGTTAACGTGAACATCTGCTGAAGAGCATTTAGTGCCTGTGTGTATGCGTGTTTGCATATGAAGGCTTCAGGAGAGGCCCACTTGAGCACTCGTCAGCACATAAAAGCTTTTTCTCGCTGGTCTGAGAGGCCTCCTGCATTAGGGCAATTAGATTTGAGCCCTGTATGCCTGGAGACAGCTAGAAGATTACACCTGCGTGGGTGTGATGGGGCGTCTGAATTTGTGAATTGAAAACACAACTGGAAAGTGAGACGTACACCAAGAGGATTATGGTCCAGATTTGAATCAAACGCACAGCATAGAGAAACTGCTATGTAAAAATTGACACACAAATATTTGACTAATTATACATATTTTAATTTAGAAATATATACCCTATAGTTATCTATAGGTTATATCAACCTATATATGCTTTAATTTATTTTCTTAATGTTAGTGGACAGTATATTTATTTATTAAAATAAAATTAGTACAATTACATAAACTCACAATAGTGACATCATCATCATGATCATGAACCCCTCAAGGACAAGTGTTTCCTCTTTTTTTGTTACCACTTTATCTTATGTATTAAGTTTATTAACCCTGTTAACCATAATTGATTATTAGGGAAAAAAAGTATATTTATGGAAATATGAACGGTAAAAATAAACATCTTTTAGTTTAGTGACCTTGCTCACTAGTTAACCCTGCTACCATCAAACTTATGTTTTTGCATATGTAATTTTCTGTTAGCCTACATCAATTTACATAATTTAGCTTGAGATGGCACAATGCAGTTTCTTAGCACTTAAGACGTTCGTTGTCTCTAAGAATATTTAAAAATGTAAATAAATCACTTAAAAAAAAAAAAGGGCTAAATGGCACCTGTTTCGTGGAATGACTCAAAGCACCTATCCGACCTGTTCTTGCATTAACTCGGAGGTTTGAAGTTGAACTCGGCGCATGTGGCATGTTGTGTGAGCTGACGTGATCGCACTGTAACGGAGCAGAGTAGGAGGGATTTGAGGGTGGGGAGAGAGAGAGGCCCC